GTGGCCATGCTTCATCCACAGCTGGGCGAAGAATGTGGCGTTGAATTCCATAGCACACCTTCTTGCTGCCATGCAGAAGTATGTTGAGAAGTGAATATATTTTTTACTGAAAGACAACAGCCACTGAAGAGGATAGCAGCAGGCTTGGGTGAATTTCCTGCAGGTACACGTTGTTTGTAGGTCCACTGGTCGGTCTCCATATCGTCAAGTTCAGAAATCACCTGTACTTCACATCTTGTGGAAGGGATCCTGATCGAATAGTTTCCTGATCATAAAATTCACTAAAACGGCGAGACAAATACCGGTAGTCTGTACTCCCCGATTCCGTCAAGCTGCTTTGAAGTCTGGGTGCTCATGTGATGCTAATGGGCTCCCCGTTGTTAATTCCAGCAGCTTCACTCTCCCTACGACGGCGGCTATCAGCCTCTCTCTCCATCGTCAACAAAATATTACAGATTCAACATTCTACATTTATCAGTACTGGGTGAATATGTCTCGAGACGAATTTAGCGGATCAACAACGCTTTGCTGGAGATTCGTATGCAATTTGCCTCGAACTATGCGATCATTCGATTTTGGTAGGAATTATGCGAAAAATTATGCTAGCATAATCTGTCAAGGCCTAGTATTCCCATACCAAAGTGTCCATGCATGCTAGAGATCAACATGGAAAAGAGAAAACATTATTTCTTCTATTCATTAGTTGACTTCTTCTGTAAAAAGATTTTTTTATTGCCAAAATAAGTTTGAGTTACCTTTGAAAATAGTCATGTTCAACTGTCTTCGTAATCAAGTCGTTATACTCGTCAAACCGATGTCACCCTCAGTGGCCTCACCCTGCGAATAATCACTTAATCAGCTCTTCTCTCCAGTAGCTCCACCTCTCCTTCCATCATGACCGGACACCAACTAGACCTCAATTCTTTTTCATGAGAATTATTAGAGCAATATCCATATCATGGCAGCCAAAATCCAGAGGTCATGACTTCGTAACATGCATAATGTACCGGTACATGTACGCGGAGTTTTGCGGACTACCCGTCACTACTAGTATCTCGTCCGCCCCGGGATACCTGATAAAGACGGATTCACTCGCATATTCTGCTACATGTACTGTATCAGTGTGAGAAAGAGCTTTGAAGAAGACGAGCCTGAACATACAATACTGTATTGCCAAGATTTCTACCCTGTTTTTCATTGAAAACACTATCTGCTTGACCTCCGAACCCTTTACCATGCAGACCACCAGCACGGATCAGGTGCATTGTACACAATTGTGTAGCCTAAATACTAGAATGGTGGTACAATCATGTAGTTATTCTCCTACATCCGAAAGGATGCCAAATTGTGCTCCGAATTTTCCACTACCAAATTATGCCGGCAAAATCCGCCGGTGCCTACTCGGGGCAGTCCACCAAGATTTCAAGTTCAATGATGTATGGTGTGGTATTAGATACATGTAAACGTTGTGCTGCATTTTGGAAAACATGTTGTTGGTTGACAACATTTTACAAGGTGGATGGTTCCAATGTGTCTCCTTCAAAAACAAACAAACAACTGAATTGATAAACAAGCTACATTCTTCATGTACCCCTCACCTACATGTACAAGTACCAATGTATTGTACTTGAATAAAATTGTATTTTACCTTTCATGGTATTGTGTATTTTATAACAAAAATATTATTGAAAACCCAGAATACATTTTCTGGGTTTTCAATAATATTTTTGTTATAAAATACACAGTAATACATGTCAAACAAGTAACGTAGTTGCGTGATGTCTGCGGCCTTCATCCTATTCATAGCTATATTAAAATTATTATCTCCACGTAGGTTACTTTCATGGTATCTCAATTTGTTCACGTCTACATGACTTTATTTTGCCCGTAAAAGAGGCGGTTACCCCCGAAAAAAAGCATGTAGATGTACATTGTATTCCCTAGAAAGAAGATATGTTACCACCTGCAAGGCAGCCAGATGACGTACACGTCACAACATGTACCAATACTGGACTGGATTATATGTTTCTATACACACCACCCATGTGTCCGTGTGTCCGTCTGGTAACATAATTACATGTACATGTACATGTAATAGCTATAAAGAGAACAAATTCTGCTGTCATCGCCACACTACAACAAAGTCATGAAGGTTTACCAAAATCGATTTTCTTGTCACAATCATCAGTGGAAAGCCGTGACTGAAGAATAACCATGCCAAATCAATAATTTATATACATTCAATAATGTGTTACGAGAACAAAACAAAGTGCTAAAAATAGAATGAGGGAAGGTGAGACAATAGAAGTAAAGTGAGAGCTAAGTGCAACAGGGGTGAGGAACTAATTGCAACGCTAGAACTATGTAGTGAGACAAACAATCATGCTGTGCACCTACGAAAACAATCTTAACGCAACTACATGTTTCTTCTACTCTTCAACATCTGAACGCACGTATCAAGCAGCACGTCCCACTGCACATGCTGACTGGCTCGGCACGGGCACTGCGACCCAAACGCGGCAGGCCACCTAAGAACCCTCGATCAGAGCCATCGTTAGCACAATTGTCGTCGACGGCAATAGTGCCTCCATTACCCGTATCGAGAGCCGTGGAGATGGATAATGTGCACATTGTCACTAACGTTATAACACAATGCACCATAACAACACAAGAAAGTACACCACAACAACATCCAGCTCAAGACCAAAGTGGACGCTGCGGCGAGGTGATCATGGTGATGCCCCCATCGCCATCGTTGCCGTTGCCTCCCCCAGAACCGCCACCTGCATCTGCAATCAGCAGTGCTTGGGCTGAGTCTGTGGTGTCGCTGGAACGGGCAAATATGGATGAGGTAAGCACTGAACATGAACAAGAAGAAAGAAGGCTGAAGGAAACGGAATTCAACAGAGAAAACAACACGATCAACATTCAAAGACCTAGACGATCAACGGCTAATTATTCAATGAATTATTACAGTACTGTATGTCAAGCACCGACGAAGACACTGGGAACAGAAGATTTAGCAACAACAGGAACAACAACAATGACAACAACAACAATGGTAACAAATTACCATCAAGATCAAAGGAGGAGTCAACGAGCAGAGGTTCAGCAACGTGAAGCGAGCCTGGGACCGATCGGTGGTGATGAGGAGAATGACACGGAGGACGACACTGAGGACGAGTTGGAAGATGAAACGGGGGACGAGGTTGCGGTTTGTGAAGACGAGGAATCGGATGGTGACTGTGATCGTAAGAAGTCTGCCGTTTTTCTTCATCTGTTGTCTCACCCTAAGTGTCTGCAGGTGTATGATGATTTTAGTTTTTCTGTTCTTTGTCGTGCACGGTACGCTAGTCAGTTGAAAGTACTTGAGGCTGTTTGTATTCGTTTGCATAAGCCTGATCTTTGTCAGCAGAAGAAACATGTAGTTGCGTTAAGATTGTTTTCGTAGGTGCACAGCATGATTGTTTGTCTCACTACATAGTTCTAGCGTTGCAATTAGTTCCTCACCCCTGTTGCACTTAGCTCTCACTTTACTTCTATTGTCTCACCTTCCCTCATTCTATTTTTAGCACTTTGTTTTGTTCTCGTAACACATTATTGAATGTATATAAATTATTGATTTGGCATGGTTATTCTTCATTCACGGCTTTCCACTGATGATTGTGACAAGAAAATCGATTTTGGTAAACCTTCATGACTTTGTTGTAGTGTGGCGATGACAGCAGAATTTGTTCTCTTTATAGCTATTATAAAATTGTTGTCTCCGCGTCGATTATTTACATGTACATGTACATGTAAACTGTAATATTCTTGTTTTCCCCTGGTCAAAACCGATTTATCCAGACAATACGACATGGAAAGAAGGAAGAACACCAACAATACAAGAGATGCAACCCGGGGATGAAATCAAAATGAAAATTTGAAATAGTCTAATTCAAAGAAACTCATGCAATACATGTACATGTAATATTCTACTCTGGGCTATCGCTCAAGCCTACAGTACACACACGTTCGTTTTCAAGAACATTCTTGGAGACAGGAAGCTTTTCAGGGACAGACAAGCGACAAATCTCAAGCTTCTCATCAATATAATGGACTCAGAAATTCACAAACCAGTTTTCGAACATTCTCTTCAAATGAATTGCAAGCAACCAGAAGCAATGAAACAGTCCGATATGGATAAGCAGCATCACAAAGGTGGAAACCATAACAACTACATGTTTGTACAATCATGTCAGATGTACATGTACATGTAGGTGGTGCATTCATGCTCTGTCTGTTACCATGGTTACATAGGCCTTTGCGGATAATGCCGGCAGAAATATTGGCAGAATTCCGTACTTTTTCTGGTAAGTTTCATGCATGTTTGGTATGTGGATAAAGAAATGGAGCAGAATTCGAGGAATTGCCCGCCATAAGGTTTGTATGGTTCTGCCAATTATTATTTCACTGCTTTTCGAGCAGAATCTGTCACCTTTTCGAGCATTATCCGCCAATGCCTACAAGACTGATGACTGTTTTTGAACACGAAACTCCGAGCGAGAAAGCTTTTTGGTCTCTGTTGTTGTGCTTTGTGCATTCATGCTCACTCAAAATGCATGTATGTTGTGCCACACTGTGCTAAAACCCACTAGTCTGTAGTACAGGTCAGCAGATTTCCTTCGCTGCATGCGTGGCCCAATCAGATGAATCTCTTCCATGGTCAAACAATGCACTGCTTGAACAATGATGAATGGACAGAGACAGTCAGAGTAGGATTTTGTGAGTGCCTAGCGCCTGCACACGGCATACATGACAGACTCCACTCCAGATGGCCCCGCGTCACCGTGTGAGTGCATGAGTAGATCTACGCGTGTCGCACACCTACGCATTATTTTATTATGAAAGGCATGCAGAAAGTCTGTAAACATGGTAAAGGCATGCAGAAAGTCTGTATGCAATAATTCAAAACAAAAGCAGCGCAGCCTAGTAGTAGCCGTCCCCATGGGCCCATTACTCTTCTGCGATAGAAATAGAAAGTTTAATCGCTATTACCCATTCTGTGCCATTACCTAAATTCCTAATGTCGGAGTTGAACCGGGACGCTACCACCGGACTGCATTCTGAAACTGCATCATTCTGCTCTTGAAAAGGAAGGTGTTTGCTACGAATGTGGCTCAGTAGCAGCATGTTGTGCAGTGTTCACATTCCGGACCATTGTGAGGTTGTAAGTAAACTAGTTATCATAATGCGAAGAAATAGGAATTCTTGACCCGCTGAGAAAACTATTCTATGAACCTACAGAAAAGAAAATGCCTGTTGTGCAAGATGCCGTTGCTAGTCCAGCATCGCCGCCCTCAGTGGAAAGCGACGTGCCATTTGAAGCAGACCGAATCAATGCGCCCCTGAAGCAAATATTCAGTGAGAGTGCTAGCGAGCAGAAATCAGCATGCGACAGCATTCTGGCACTTTTGAACACGGCGTGGTCGACTCCGGTGGTGGGCAGGGACCTAGCGTATTCGCTGTGTGATAGGATTCGCGAGGCGAAAGGTATCGAACGGCTCGTGGCGTTATGCACGTGTTGCAATGTTAGCGTGCGTCTGGCAAGTGTGGGAGCGCTGGAGCAATGCCTTACGCCCGCTAACCGGCACCTGCTTGTGCGCCTTGAGCTGGATCAGTTCATTAGCACTGTGCGATGCTGGAAGGGTGACACCAAGGATGAAGACTTCCCATTGGTGAAAGCCTGCCTGGGAGTCATGGAATCACTGTTCAAGCAGTCGTCGTATACGTGCAATCGGCTTATTGATATCGGTGCTTTGGACGCTATCCTATACACATGCCGAAGTCCAGATGAACGCATCCAGCGTCATTGTGCTGCGGCACTAGCTAACTGCGGGATGTATGGAACGGCTCAGACGCAGCGCAACATGATACAGCGCGACACAGCCGAGTGGTTGTTTCGCCTGGCGTTCAGTGGCGACGCCTCGGTGCAGTACTATGCCTGCCTAGCAATCAGCATCCTGGCCTCTAACCCGGACATCGAAGAGCTGATACGTCCCAGCGGAACGCTGGACCTGATCGCCCCGTTCGTCATGTCCCACGACCCGGGGGAGTTTGTCCGCAGCGACCCGGCCCATTGTCAGGGTCGGTCGGCTGACTGGCTGCGCCGACTGGTACCCGTTGTCAAGGGCAACAGCAAGCCAGCGCAGTGCCTGGCCGCATTTCATTTTGCCATGGAAGCCAGTATCAAGAAAGAACAAGGAAATGTGCAGGTACAGAGATTTTGGCCATTACATGTTATCTTTCTTGTTCTGATTTTTGTCTCGAACCGAGTTTGTGTTCTTTGTAGAGAAAAAAAAACATATTATACATGTAGTAGAGATCTGACAAGATGTCATGGTTTATAGTCGCGTAAAGGCAGGGAAGCGTGGATGATGGGTGAAATAATTTCTGGCCATGCATGTGTGCTTGAAGGGTGACAGACCAAAGAAAACATGACTAAAATTAGACTAAAATTATGCGCTGCGCGTGTTCGTGTGTGTGTGTGTGTGCATGCGTGTGTGTACGCCGTGTGTTTACAGGTGTTTCAAGAGATCGGTGCCATTGCACCGCTGCAGAACGTGGCTATGCGCGGCACCAGACTCAGTCGACAACTTGCCAAGTCCGCACTGCTGCTTATGGGTCACGAGGTATGTGCACTATCCCTGCACTATCCCTGCACTATCCCCCCCCCCCCCCCCCCCCGGTCAAAGCCGTGTGGCACAGCAACTCACTGGCTCAGGCATAACCATGGAAACTGCCAACTCCAGCCGTGTACATAGCACCCATAAGTGGTTCTTCCTACTTATGCTGTATGGGTAGCGCCCATAAGCGGCTGTGCCGAGACTGCCGACTCACAGCGTTGACATCGTTTGCATCACTTGTATAGGATCGTGGTTAGCCTTGCTATGCTTCATATAGCGGTGCTCAAGGAAAAATCCCACGCAACCTACCATTTCTGTTTTCCTTGTTTTGTGTGATGCTGTGATACTCGCACAGCTGCCGAAGCACATGAGCTTAGAGCTGCTAACGTGGAAAGTCGATGATATCGGTGCCTGGCTGAAGGACATTGGGCTGGAGACGTACGCGCAGAGGTTCGCCGAGTCTGTCATCGACGGCGAGTTGCTGTCCTCACTGACCGACGAGGATATCAAAGAAGAATTAAAGGTGATACGGCGACGGCACGCATTATTTTACTTGATTACAGTCAACCTCGCGGATAACGATCTTGCGAATAACAACTTGCGAATGACGACACAATCGTCAGACCTAGTTACCATTTAACTGCATGCTATCAATTTCACCAATAGCCGCTATTCACGAATTACATGATCCCAGGTCGCTACAGTCAGACCTCGTTCAACCGCACACATCCGTATTCCACAAAATGTACCCGGATAGGCGAGGGAACCGGATATTCGAACACACATACTGTATGCATGCGCTACATATGCTGTAAATCGGTAACCAACGATTTTCTTCCGGATGGCGAGGGATCCGGATAAAAGACGACCGGATAAGCGAGGTGTGACTGTAGCAGCAAGGTTTACCGTAATCTAAGTACTGCAGATATAACCAATACCCCCCCCCCCCCACACACACACACACATACACAAGAAGATCCCATATCCCCAGCGCGGCACACACATATATGTGCATTTCTTGGTCTAGTGAATTCAGAGAGCAACGTCCGCATGTGTATAGTGTCTTTTGCTAATGCTGAAAGTGAACGTATTTGTCGACAAATCTTCTCCACGTTTGTTTCCTTTGTATTGCAGATCACCAATCGTCTGCATCGTCGTAAGCTTTTGAGAGAAATTGTTCGTCTTCGCTCCTTCGCTGACTATGACAGTCAAGACACGGATGGTATTGGACAATGGCTGTGTGATGTTGGAAAGGAGCTGGCTCGGTAAGAATGCTCGCCCAGATGTGCGTGTGTGCTTTCTTTAGGTACTTATGGCACGAAATCGTCGACATTTTTCTTAAGACTTTATTCTTAATGCTAATCACATTGTCTGAGTCCTTTCCTGTGTTTTTGATTACATGCCTGTGCGTCCGGTCACTCACCCGTGTGTGTGTGTTTGTGTGCGTGCACGTGTGTGTATGTGTGTGTGTGTGTGTTTGTGTGTGTGTGCGTGCATGCATGTGTGTGTGTGTGTGTGCGCGTGTGTGTGTGTGTGTGTGTGCGCGTGCGTGTGTATGTGTGTTTGTGTGTGTGTATGTGTATCATACTATGTGTGTGTGTGTGTGTGTGTATTCAGGTATCGTGGGGCATTTCTGGAGAGTGGCGTGACAAAGTCATTGCTACCCTACCTGACAGAGGAGGATCTGCAGGTATCCATTGGCATACAGAATGCCATTCATCGCAAGAAAGTCCTGCTGGCTATTCTGCAGCAAACCATCACTGCTGCCGGTGCTGCTGGTCCTGCTAGCAGAGGTAGAGTGAATGAAAGCACAACCACTGCTGCTGCTGCAGCTGCGGCTGCTACTGCACATGCACCTCAGACACTAATGGACTCACTGCAATCTGAACAGATGCTGTGTAAGTGACTGCCTTGCTGCAGTGACCTTTTATGTGTTAGAGTGTGTGTGTGTGGGTTAGAGTGTGTGTGTGTGTGTGTGTGTGTGTGTGTGTGTTTGTATCTGTGTGTGTGTGTTAGAGTGTGTGTGTGTATGTGTGTGTGTGTGTGTGTGTGCGTGTGTGTGTGCGTGTGTGTGTGTGCGTGTGTGTGTGTGTGTGTTAGAGTGTATGTGTGTGTGTGTGTGTTAGAGTGTGTGCACACTGCACACTGCACACTGCACAGTAACCCTGTGATGTTACTGTGATGTCATAGTGATGTCATTATGATTGCATAATGATGCCATTCAAATACATTTCAGGACAAAATGGGTGCTTTGCAGATGTACAAAACATTTCCAGTCCCCTTTCCTGTCACAGGTTTGTTGTTTAGACTGTAGCTCTGTACATGTACAGTACTGTGGGCCACCAAAGAACTAGGGGGTCAGGGTTCTAGCCTAGCCCGTTCTTATTTTTAGCCAACACAGCAGTTTCGTTCTTATTCAATGGCACTACTCATCTCCTGTATACACCGAGACTTAGTGTGTGTATGTGTGTGTGTGTGTGTGTGTGTGTCTGTCTGTGTGTGTGCATGTGTGTGTGTGTACTTGCGTGCTTGCACGCCTGTGTGTATGTGCGGTGATTTGTCACACCGACAGCTCTGGGCATGGGTGAGACGATGATGGACACGATGGCCGCCGCCAGCTTCGGAGACGAGCAACCAACGTCGATTGGCATCGAGGAGATTCCCATCACTCGTTCCTACCCGGAGTCCTCTCCCCCTGGTGGTCCTCCACACAAACTACTCTACCCCGCAGCAGTGCCCTCACCATTGCCGGGTCCAGCGCCGGGGACGACGTCGCCGGCGACGTCATCAGAACCACTCGACGTGTTCATCAGCTACAGAAGAGCAACTGGCTCCCAGCTAGCCAGTCTCTTGAAGGTAACCATGACATTATGGCTCCATCTTGTGACCATGGCAACCAGCCAATTGCAACAGTCGTTGTGATCTGATGTGGGATGGAAAGAATAGCGATGCACGCACATGACACGACTCATGGCTTAGTGGGTGTGAGTGGTATGGGTGGTAGTCCTCCCCGGGCTCTGCCGACTTGGGGCTTGGGACTTGTTACAATCTTGCACTTGATGAGAGCAAGGGCTAGGAGAAGGGATGCTGGATCACCCTTCGGTGTGTTTATGTGTTAGTGGCTGCATTGGACTCGATTTCGATACACCTATAACCATTCTGTAACAAGAAAATAAGCAGCAGCACTCAGCCCTTGAACATTCTGCATCCACTTCATCACTAACACTGTTGTTCTCTGCGGCCGACCACATTCATTCCCCACGACAGAAACAAGAGGCTCCTTCGGTGCTGAACATATTTTTAGTTCCTTCTGACATCTGTTTCGGTCAATTAGACCTCATCAGAGCGCAACTTTGGTGGTGGTGAAGTGGACGCAGAGTTTATCCATTCTGTATGTGATATTTTTAGTCGAGGTGCTGGCATGGATTGGGAAAGTACCCACGACTCTGCCGCACTCTATGAAGCATGTAATACTCGATCGGTGGACAGAACTGTTTCAAAGAAAATGAGGCCGAACCTGATAGCAATGAAACATAGAATTTTCAAAGCTAGATCTAAGCAAGACCCGAATATACAAAACCATGTACTACCATGTCATCCGCTTGTCAGTGACGCTACCGCCCGTAATTATTACACGCTGGGGAATGTGCTTGTGCATGTGTGCGAGTTTGTCTCTAAGTGTTGAGTCTTATCTAGGGGTAAGCGTGATCAAGTATGGACACAGATCTATTTCTCATGGGCGTGTGTGTGTGTGTATTTGTGTGTGTGTGGGTGGGTGCATGTGTGAGCGCGTGTGTGCATGTGCATGTGTGTGTATGTGTGTTTTTGTGGGTGAGCATGTGTGTACTTGTGCCATGTGTGAGTATGCATGTTCTTGTCCGATCTGTGTATTCTGATATTTCAGGTCCATCTTCGTTTAAAGTTGCGCCATCTGAACGTGTTCCTTGATGTCGATGAGCTAGGTGCTGGCAAGTTTGACGAGGCTCTTCTTGATCACATTGCCACGGCTAGGAACTTTCTTCTAGTGCTGTCCCCGCAGTCCCTAGACCGCTGTATTGGTGACCATTACATGCAGGATTGGGTACACAAGGAGGTGAGACACACCTGACTGGTATGCTTTTTTACCTCTTAGGTGGCTGCTATGCCCCCTTGTTAATGTTGGCCAATAAGAGAGGTACAATTAATAATGGTGATTACATGAGGCTGTGAGGTAACATCAGTTGAAAATATGGTGATTTCCGTCAGGCATGCTCTCTTGAAGTCCAAGGTTATGTATTTTAGAGAGGCTCTGTTCTACTTCAACCAGTCATGCAAGTGCAGGTGTGGATGATAATTTTATGCGAACACGTTCACTCGACATTCTGGAAATGGTCCTGTCTTGCCCCTTTGCTGGCTCAGCACAAGTGTATAAATGAGGTGTTGGACTGTAAAAAGGGACACATCTGGTTCATCGCTATTTGTCCTAAAAGGGAATAAATTGTATTTGTCACGGCTGAAGTCTATTATACTTAGACTTACTCCCTGTCCATATTCTATTGAGATGTTGATGCTAGTCAGACCTCTGATGTGAAATTGTGTACAAAAGTGGTACTTGCCGGAAGCTGAACAAAATCTCAATTTCCCAATTTTCCGCTTGTTCAGCATTGTGTTTTCAACTTCTCACATCCTTCTCTTTGTGCATGTGCGTGTGTGTGCATGTGTGTGTGTTTGTGTGCGTTTGTGTGTGTGTGTACGTATATGTGTGTGTGTGTTCCTCTATAACACACGTGTGTACATGGGTATCTGAATGTGCTGTTGTACCCACACTGCCGTCGTTCAGGTCAACAAAGCCGTAGTTAGCCAGCGTAACATTATCCCCGTTATCGACGAAAGCTTCGAATGGCCGGACGTGAACAAACTACCGGAAGGTATTCGCTGTGTTACAAAGTTCAACGGTGTTGCTTGGTCGCACATCTACCAGGATGCGGCTATCGACAAGATCATACAGTTCCTCAAACTGGACTGTGCCAGGGCTGTGCTACCACCCTCACCTATTGCGTCACCAGAGATACGCAATGACATCATCATAACGGACAATACGCACCCGCTGCATCGCACAGTGTCGATGGTTGAGCGACCGCGCGCCTTGGCCGTCCAGAGGCTGGCGTCGACGCCATCGCTACCGAACGGACATGTCACCACCGCCGCGGCTGGTGGTGCTGGTGCTGCTATAGCTGCTGGGTATATACCACAACTGTTATCCACAGCACCAGTGCCTGCAGCGCCAACCTCCATGCCGTCAATGATGTCATCACCTACTTCTACCCGTATTCGCCGCTCCATGTCAGCATGCCACATGGTAGCTCCACCTGCGAATAGACCCTATCATATACAGCAGTCCGTAAAGAGAAACTCTGACACTGGCTGAGAGGTCATGGGAACTGCTGGTGTTGGCCGTGAACAATATGCCTCTATCCCATGGCGTTCATGGATTGCTAGCTGTCCCAAACCCCAGGTTGGCGGAGCTTCTCTGTGTGCACGTGCGTGCGTGCGTGTGTGAGTGTGTACGTGCGTGCGTGTGTGTGTGTGTGTGTGTGTGTGTGTGTGTGCGTGTGTGTGTGTTTGTGTGTGTGTGTGTGTGTGTGTGTGTGTGTGTGTGTGTGTGTGTGTGTGTGTGTGTGTGTGTGTGTGTGTGTGTGTGTGCATCGTTAACCACCGTCATTCTAGCGACCGTTCTAGGGAGATAGACAAGAGCGATAGCACCAGACGTCTGCCAAGAAAGTGGCTTAGCCGCAGTAGCAGCAGCCATCCAGTGGGGATTTCCCCAATCTGAAGAGATCTCCCGGAGATAGAGCACGTTTACTAATGTGTACAACAGGTATAGTTCGACAGACCGACAGGAAAAGAACAAAGATTAAAACAGACTTGGTTACTCTACGAATTGCTAACGAACGGAACAGAGTGCAGTTTAGGTGCAGTCGGCAAAGTCTTTGATTCCCAAGTACATGATATTATTTTGCTTTAGATATTATAGTGCCAGGTACATAATATTATATAGGGTATTTTAGGGTATTATAGATAGTAGTTTGACTGTGTATTTAGCTAGGCCAGAGCATCCCTAGCGATGATACCCCTTGTATAGAGGTGACCCTTGAAAGATGTACCCCTCAGCTCTACTTAGCTCTACCTCTTCTGCGTCGTCTTTCTGCTTATCTGCGTTACCTCTTTCTAATCGCACTCTATCTTTCTAATCGCACGCTATCTTTCTGACCTTTCTGATCGCACGCTATCTTTCTGATCTTTCTGATCGCTGCTGTATGACATCATAGATTCTATCCAGCTTTCTTTTCTTGAGTTTGCACTAGCACTTGAGTTAGCACTTGCCAGAAATACCCATAATATACTAGGCAACCACCGCAGCGCTATGCCCACACTGCAGCGCTATGCCCACGCTTGATTTCCTTTCAACTGTTGCCGATTGATGATGAATACACGCGTATGAAACTCGAACCTGCAACAGAATGTCCCATCTCCTTATTGTGTCTAAAGACTAAAACTGTAACACTGGGGTGTCGCGAGCTGCGACGGAATGACATCTTGAACAGAAATGAACAAAATAGACAAAACCCTCTTTTGAGATACGATTTGGCCCCGGCTTGACGGACTGAACCATGGGGGGGGGGGGGGGGGTGCTAGGACCTTGATGGTCTCTGCCTCAGCAGTGCCCTGTTTGCTGTCTTGTATCCTACTTTCCAGACACTGTCAGCCATACCGCACACAGGGATCTCAGCCAGTACAGACTCTGATAATACATACTCTTGCTTAGTACGTACTCTACCAAGGCATACACTTGCTTATTACGTTTTCTGATAAGACCTACTCTTGCTCTGTGAGGAATTTGTCTAGGACACTCGCCCCCTTGTCGGGCATTGGTTGTTAGTCATTGAGAGTTACCACTTGCGTTAGGCGCTGCATCAGCCACCCTGGTATTACAGGCATGATGGTGGCCTGGCACGAGCGAAACTTCCTAAGCTGGTTGTGTTCCCATAACTTTGAAATGTCCGTAACTCTGAATCACAAACCTTTCGATGGGGATAGGATAGTATAGGTATAGCGCATGACGTCACTGTTTCCACAAAAATTGCACAAGAGTAGTAATATTTCCACTTAAACTCACCCACAGTGTGCCTGGTAGAGGGAAATGATAACCGAATTAGGAGTGTACGTCAGGTATTGTTAACTAGTTTCTACCAGGGTAATACTGGGTGAAATCCAACCACCACTGGGTGAAATCCAACCACCACTGGGTGAAATCCAACCACCACTGGGTGAAATCCAACCACCGGGAACTCAGCAACACTTGCTGCTACTACAGTATAGTGTGCAAGGCTTGGAGAAGCAAGCAGACGGACGGACTTATCCCTCTGCTTGCTTGTGGGAGTGTCTCAGATTCAGACCAGTGTAGTTCTGATCCCCTGATCTCTATTGTGGACAAGACTTCACACTCGGGTGCATCAATCACGCTCGACTCAAGTTAACATGACGATGAAAATTTTAATTTATCACATTGAAATGTAATAACTACATTGAATTTGAAGAATCAACGTGGCAACAATTGCTTTAATTTAAAATAATAATAATCCTGGATGCTCCTTATTGTGCTAAATTTCATGATTATTCTACCAGTGCAGTCCTGACAGAATGCAAAACGGGCTGAACAAAACTTGAAATCATTCAACTGAAAGTAACAGTACAGACGCACACACACATGCGCGTGAACACACACATACACACACTCACACACACACACACACACACACACACACACACACACACACACACACACACACACACACACAGACTCACACACCGATTCACACACATCCACACACATGCGCACACACACACACACACACATTGGCATGCAGGGTCAGTGTCCTGGATGGCCAGTGTTCCACAGGGATAATGCTCTGGACTCCATGGGGTGCGATGACTTAAGGTGTATGATGGTATGCCGCAATATTGAGTTCTACGCACTAATTTGTCCGTCGGTGTCCCGTCAAGATGACACTCTCGATCAGCTTAGAAATATGAGCTCTGTCGCTTCCCGGTGATCCCTGGGGAAACCCCGTCACCTGGCACTAACCGAATGTAGGGTTTTAGTTTGATCGAGTCTGTACGCTGTGCGGGTGCCAGGCAACCTCCTCGCTGGCCTTTGTGGCGCACTGAAGAGGCGGACGAGGACGACGATTGGGCAGCCGGGAATGACGTACGCCGCAGGCTGAGTGCTAGGGAGGGTGACCTGGACGATGTATCGATCAGGCTCAGGTACTTGCGTGCCTTAATCGCTTTAGGGCTGGACGCGGTCAGATGACCAGACGCAAAGTCGGAAGTATCGATCGGAAATGCCAAGGTTGCCGGGCGTTGATTTGCTTTCACACCCGGCGTGCTGAAACTGCTTGACGGCGCGGAGCTCCGGTGGAACAAGCGGCGTGCCAGGCTGGTGCGCGTGACTGGCTTGTGTTCATTGGTCGATGAGCGTATGGTAACCGGAGCAACAGACTGGACGATGGCGTCCATATCGGTTGCATTCGGGCTGATGCCCTGGGATTCGTCCTTGCTCAGCTGATGCAGTGTACTGGGGGATGATTTCTTACAGGTCTTGTTAGAGGCTGGCAGCGGATCTAGAGAAACATATCACCCACATACAAAAAAACGAAATACAAAATAATAATCGAAACTCGGATGGAGAGCCAAGAATTAAATTTAAAAGAAAGAACCAAAATGTTGCCTGTTTTCTGTAGTTGAATGTCAGTATCACATCACTCAGTATTGTACTAGCTGTTGCACCTTCTGACTACACAACATCTTGCTTATAACTGTTAGTGTTGGACAGAAACTACGGATAACATGTTACATTTTGGTCCTTTCTTTAAAACAAAACTGAAATTCAGAACTAGTGTGGAACTCACGTAGGACACACATTTACTAGACCAACACTGAGTCTTGCATAATAGTATGGGACATTGTCTGGGGCACAGACGTGTACAACTTCAGAGTACATGCTGAAGAATGATCCACAGTGTGGTGAGAGTGGCGGGATGTAGCGAACGCAGAGCGTAGAACACAGTAAACCAGTGGAGCGAGGCTAGGTTGATGCAACTCTGTGTGGCGTGCGGAGAGCATAAGACTCAGAGTTGCGGCAATGGTTCCATCTAGCCCTGCTTCACTGCTGTACTGATGTACTGCTGTAGACGTAGCAAGCTACCAGATCATAGTGTTAATTTTTTTCTACAAAATCCACATTTCTCCAGACACTGGGGCGAATAATGGAGTGTGGTGGTGGAGCCCATTAAGCTCAGCCGACCAGAGGTCTCGGCTTGATAGTACCGTGGATGCACCAAAGGGAGATCGGGTAGGGAGGATTAAGTTGAAAAAGAAAACAGACGTGTTTTCACTTGCTTCTAGAAATCGATTCCATGCTTGGCGATACGGCTAAGATTGGGCAATGCGGCAATGTGGCATACCAACGGCCTTGTCAAAATGGGTTTGAGATATAGAAGGATGTCTGTTGTCGCACTGGACAAGCAGATCAATGGTACAGCTCTAGTTTGAGGCCATCAATGTCGGAGTGGGGTCGTGTGTGGATGCGTGTAAATGTGGCTGGTTAAAAGTGGGTATGTGAGTCATTTAGGGGCAGGGGGGGGGGGGTATAATGTGTGTGTGCGTGTATGTGTGTGTGTGTGTGTGTGTGTGTATGTGTTTGTGTGTCTGTGTGTCTGTGTTTTTGTGTATGTGTGTGTGTGTGTGTGTGTGCGTGTGTGTGTGTGTGTGTGTGTGTGCATGTTTGTGTGCGTATGTGTGTTTATGTCTGTGTGTAATAGCTATCATCGCCTTCAGCGATGGGCTTGCCAAGGGTCCAAATGTGTGCATGTGTGTGTGTGTATGTGTGTGTGTGTGCGTGCGCGCGCGCGTGCGTGCGTGCGTGCGTGTGTGCCCGCGCGCACGCGTGTGTGCGTGCGTGTGTGTGTGTGTGTGTGTGTGTGTGTGCATCGTGTTACAGTACCTTGTGATAGGATCAGGCTGATGTTGTAATACTTTGCTGCAGTTTGTAGCTGTTCCAAAGCAGGGATTGAGAACTGCAGCCCATCAATACTACATACAAAGAGCAACAGCAGCAACACGAGCAGCCATGATGAGAATCACAATGACCACAAAAACAGAAAGAGTGAATAGCAACTGAAGAGAGCGGTTGTCAGTTGACAAACCCCCTTTAATTTACAATGCAGTTGCATGATGTCCACCACTTTCTGAAAGAACAGCGAGAATGCCAAAAAAATTTAATTCACGGTTCGCGTGAGACTCGGCTAAAGGCCGATTTTTCCGCATCCGTAGGAACGCCACCACCCTTCAATGATCAAGGCGCATATGCAGCTCCTAAAGCGATGCGAGGTGAGTAGATCAGAACCACCGCCAAAGTGGTCAAAGACCGAAAATCCCGCTCGCTGCTCAAAACAAAACAGGAAATGCAAGAGTGCAGTGAACATTGAAGAATATCACTATCATGGCATATCTTATGTTGTCACCATGGCTGGACAACTACTCATTATGGTTGTCATCACAACCTTCACATGCAAAAGACAAATGTGCTCAAACAAGCAATCTCAGGGACCGTTCACCAGCAATACGTTTTAGAGAATGTTCGCAGATAGAGACACTGTATTGGAATGGCCATCAGCAGTGAAGAGTACTTTTCTGCTTGGAATGGGCTCTGGACACAAACAAGGCCTTTATTCATATCTCTCTAATCCATGTCGTATCCATACCTTAGTGAGTGCAAGCGTTTACAGTTGGCCACTACGCTAACAAGGGAAGTTACGGCTGAGTCAGTCAAGTTCTGGCTACCCAGCCTGGGTTTGGATGAGGAGTAGAGCGAGAGAGAGACGAGGCAGGTAGAGAAAAGGAGAGAGAGAGAGATGGGAGAAGGACACATACAGACAGAGACACAATGATCCACAGAGAGGCACACATACATGTGCACACACACACACACACACACACACACACACACACAAACACACACACAGCGGAAGGAAGACAGCCATTGGCCATGAACTGACTGACAAAATATCATGAACGTTTTAAAAAGGCAAAAAATATCTTTTTCTGGTTCGAGCCACGGCATGAGCTTTACATTTTCCGTGACGTTTGAAAATGTAGAGTCAAACAATGGAGCAAGAAAGAACTGTGAGAAATGGCAACCTTCAATACTGTTCCACAATGAGTGTGAAAGCTCATAGGCCAAACACACGTGCATACGCAGACAAATGTATTAGCAAGACGTACTGCAGTATCTCCAATCCGAGGGAATGCTTTAAAGACGTTGACAGCGCTTCCAGACCCATATCACCAAGGTTGTTG